TTTTGAATAGAGTTCAGTGTTCTCTTTACATGTCATTCTGCAAGGCTCATATTTGGAATAATTTAGGACAGCTTTACTAAATTTATTAATGTAACACTTGTTATAAGGATGTGCTTAAGTTCTAGATTTTCTGTGCTTACAGTGCAAAAGCCTTCTTTATGAAATAAGAGACAGAATTTTACCTGTAGTGGTGATAAATAATGCCTTGTCTTTTAAAATGCTATTAATTTTCTAAATGTTTATATCCGGAGTTTATTTGATTTTCACGGTAACTCTGTGAAGTGAGTGCCCTAATCTTATAAATGAGAAAATGTAAGCACAAAGTATTGTCATTTTCACAGCTAACATTTACTAGTGCTTACTATATGCTAAATACTGATTTAAGTTTTTTGTGTGTATTAGTTAATACTTGCTTGGACTTTAGTGTCAGGTCAAAATTTAAGTCTAGCTCTTCTGACCAGTTCTTGACTGTGGAAAAGATACCTCACCCTTTTAAGTCTTGGTTTCCTGATTTGGAACGCAAAAATAATGGTAGTATCTACCTTACTGGTTGTTTGGATTAAATGAGATCATCCAAATGACTGTGTGTGGCATACAGTAAAATCTGTAAAATTAGTTAGCTGTAGAAAAGTAGGGTGGTGGTAGACAGCATTTAGTGTAATTGATAGCCTCTTGGTAAAATTGAAATTTTTTTAATAAGTATCATAGTCGATGCAGTTATACATACCTATTTTATAGAAAAATACTGATGTTACAACAATAACATTATAGTTCCATATAGTGCCTATAACTACCTCTTCCCTTACTGCCTCCTAATTATCTTTCGGTTCCTAGTCTTCAACAGTGGGGAGAAACCAAAGGGGGTTAAGAAGTCAGAGAGAGTATCTAGGCATCCACTGGACACCCACAGTCCATTGGGTTATGTTCATTCCAGGAGTATTTTGGTATGTCAGTTGCTTGGAACTCAGAATGTGTTTTCTTATGAAAAGTTTCCTTCTAAATGAGGCACAAAAAATCTTTTAATCCCTGATACAACTGACATGTTGGATATTTGCACTGAAAAACAGTAAAAGCAAGCAAAAACTATGCAATACATTGGCAGTGTTACTCAAAATAATTAAACAATAAAATTGAATAAATATTCTCAAGAGATTAAAATAATTTCTGGAGATTCATGTGAGGACTTTTTAATGTTTTTAAGAGCTTTATGAATTGGTACACTGATTCTTTAATATATTTAACTTCATTTCAAAGCTTATGGCTTTTTGTTGATAGTTAATAGGTGGATCACTATCATTTCTCTTATTTTTATGTACTGTCATTAAACTCATTGCAGAATAAGGGCTGGAGAATGCTTATGAGAGGAATGAAGAATGAGCAGAATAGAGATGTTTCTGACCTAATTGGCCAAAATCCCTTAGAATACATTTTAGAAGAGACAAAGAGAATATACATTCACCTAAAAGAAGTTGTTTATGGTAGAATTAGTTCAGCCCTGGGCTGTTTTCCAAGCCAGAGACAAAGCATGGTGTATATTTGAGCTTCTGGAGAAAAGAAACGGATAGTAAAGAGGGAGTGGATTGCTGCCCACCTTAAAGTGAGGTGTAGCAGCAGTTCACAAGAGATGTAAGCCAACACCTGGCATGCTGATTTTATATATAAAACTAAAGTTCAGAGTTAAAATTGTTACATCTGAAGTTCAGAGTTGAAATTGTTGACTGTCTTTTGGAAATGTTCACTTTGGCTATCAATCATATTTGTTCTCTAATTAATACATAGATTAAAATGAGACTATTCCCATAACCCCTAATAAAATGCCGGATACAGAGTAGGTATTTAGTAAATATTAGTATCCTTGTTTGAGTGAGTTTGATTTTTTTGTGTGTTGTGAAGGGTAAATAAATTGACCAGAGAATTTTCAAAAATGTATTAAAATCTCTTGTAACTCTAAACTGTAATTTATCATTGTAATTTCACTGTTCTATGATTCTGTGACATGCTTGTTCATACCATCGATTTTCTGCTTTACTGACTTTTCTGAACTGGTTTTGGAGAGGTCTTACAGAATAGGAAGATACGGAGGGTGGATTTTGAAGACAGTCTTCGAGAGGAATTATGGTGAGTGAGGTTTAGGAACAGTCACTGGAGATGGAGAGTTAGTCTGCTACTGGCTAAAATGGGTTTTTAGAACTGGAATGGAACCTTAGAGGTGGTTTACTCTAACCCTTCATTTTACATCTGTGGAGTATAGAGAAGTGAGTTGTGCAAGTATTATAGCTGTAGTAGAAAAGCCAGAAACATCATAGAACTAAGACTATTTTTACTTCTGAAAAAGAATGGTAACAGGTACATATTATATTAATTTTTAAAATTGATGTTATATATTAAATACTTTTTATTCAATCTTTTAGACTTTTGAGTTTGTTTAAATAGCTTAACTGAACTAACTGTGTTGCCAGAAAGCTCATAAGGAATATTATTCTTTAGAAATAAGACATTCTCAATGTTTTCCTTCTGTTTTTAGGTTAAGTCAGCAAACAAAGAAAACATGGTATTTTGAAGTATGATTAAACTCCTGATGCTGCAGCAGAGGCTAAGAATATTAATGGCCAGATCTAGGTAAGTTGAAGTTGATTTGCTTTTTATATCACTAAGCCTACATTTACAATTATTTTTTATTTTTATTTTAAATAGAGACAAGGACCCACTCTGTTACCCTGGTTTTGAACTCCTGAGCTCAAGCGATTCTCCACCTTGGCTTCCCAAAGTGCTAGGATTACAGGCATGAGCCATCACTCCTGGCTTATAATTGTTCAATGAGAGAATTTAATAATGTCTTCTTGAACTGCAACCATTGCTGACACCACCACCTCCACTCCCAAGAATGGCTTTAGTTAAACTAAGACATGTTTACTAATTTAAAGTAGTCAGCAAGCTTGTTACAGTATTGCTCTTCCCAAACAAAAGCTACCTTTTATTTTTTGAGACAGGGTCTTACTCTGTCACCCAGGCTTAGAGTACAGTGGCATGATCGTAGCTGAGTGCAGCCCTGACCACCTGAGCTTAAATGGTCCTCCCACCTCAACCTCCAGGTAGCTGGGACTACAGGTGTGGGCCACTTTGCCCAGCTAATTTTCTGTTTTTTATAGAGACAGAGTCTCACTGTGTTGCCCAGGCTGGTCTTGAACTCCTGAGCTTAATTAAGCAGTCCTCCTGCCTCAGCCTCCCAAAGTACTGGGATTACAGGCATGAGCCACCACACCCAGCCTACCTTTTGTTCTTAAATGTACCCTACTTTTGTATGTCAGTCTCTTGAGGGAGCATAATAAAATCATTTGTGTTTTTGCTGAGTTACAAACTTGGAGGAGCGCATGCAAATGAGATCACATGATTGTTCCTCGTTTACAATATTAGTGCATGTAATTTGGTGTCACATAGCTCAGATGTAGTCTCCAGATATTAATCTGGTGGTCATAAATGCAGAATATCTAGTATCTAGCCTTTCCCTGGCCTAAGAGTTTGTGGTTTAGGAAAAAGAATTAGAGATGTGTATGAAAACTTCACATTAAAGAATTCTCCTTTCAGGAATTGGAAGACTGGCCGTGACTGCCTATGTTCCAGCTGTTTCTATCCCTCACTCATACTAAGCCTATTCTTTAGCCATACTGAGGCCACCTGTTTTTTTGTTTTGTTTTGTTTTGGGTTTTTCTCCCCATTTTCTGTCTATTTTGTTAGCTCTCTTCTTTCTTTACTTCTTTCCTGACCAGTTGTGATGATCTGTCACTTCAAACCCCTGTATTACCAATATCCTTTATATCCGTGCCATCTTATCCTCTGACCCTGGATCAGTTGAACTGTCTACCCCGCAGACTGCTGAGCAGCTATCAGAACAGCCTACCTTGCCTCTGCAGCCTCTGCTGAGCTCTCATCTCAGCCTACTTAATAATCTTGCTCTCTTTTTCTTGGGTAATTCCTTGGTGACTAATCCAGCCATTCTTAAGTGCCTCATTCTGCAAGCCTTGCCTTCTATTTTACAAAGGAAATTTAGGGTGATAAATGTTATCTACTTCAGCCTCTTTTCTGTGTTCCACCCACCTTTATATCTTTCATCCTTCCTCAGAGAATGAAGCATTCCTCCTTCTCTGGGTAAACTTGTCAATTTGGGCCCTAGAACTCATCTCTAGTATCCCTTCTGTCTTGAGCTGTCAATTGGCCCTTCTCTTTCCTTTGTTTTTCCTGTTTTAAAAACTTTGTTGACCTATTGATTATAAGCCTGCATAAATCTATGTCATCTTAACATATATAACTCAAGTAATATATTCTCTTTTGAATATGTTCACACCCTTAACCCTCTCTACTCCTTATTTTTTCAACCAGTTCTTGAAAGGCCAATTTTCATCCTCTAAAGACTACCTCCTTATCTTCTACTTGCTCATTGCAGTTTGGTATCTGTCCCTGCCATGCCACCATGGATGGTGCCCTCCTGCTTGATGCTTAGTGGTTTTTTTTTGTTTTTGTTTTTACCTTCAGTGGCTTCTCTCTACTCGTGTATTTAAACACATTTGTATTTCCCCAGAATATCAACCACAGACCAGTCTTCATAATATTATTGAACCAATGTCTTCTATTTTAGAGCTTCAAATACTACATGTGTTCTAATGTTTTGCCTTCTCCCTCAAACACATTCTCATGTACTTAACTATTGCACTTGGCTGTTTACTGGGCCCTCAGTTTAACGTATCTGAACAAATCGTTGTCATTTCCTCTTGAAGACTACAGTTTTTTGCATGTCAGGTAATAGAACCGGCACCCTTTGCCATGCTGGAAACTGCCTCTTTCTTCTGTTATGTCAAGTCAGTTCTTGATGTCACTAACTTTTCCTCCTAAATTTATTATTTTTTTCTTTATTCCTACCATTGCTGCTCTTATTTTAGGTTTTTATCATATTTCACTTTTTAATAATCCCAAACTGTTTTCCTTTCCTCTGATCAAAACTCCTACTTAAATTTATCCTACAAATAGTAATATTTAAAATGCACTTCTGACCATCTCACTTTCTTACTTAAAATATATTAGTGGTTTTCCATCATGTGTAGGATAAATTCCTTTCTCTTTGGCATGACATAGAAGGCTTTCATGTCACATATTAGGCATTTCAGTAATTATTGTTGTACTGAACTGAAACAGTCAGTGTGGACAGAGTCCCCAGGTAGGTTGCACCACCACTCATATAAATCATGTATCACTTAATGATGGAGACACATTCTGAGAAATGTGTCATTAGACAATTTTGTCAGTGTACAAACATCATAGAATGTGCTTACACAAACCTAGATGGTATAACCTACTATACACCTATATGGTATAGCCTATTGCTCCTACTCTACAAATGTGAGCAGCATTACTGTACTGAATACTGTAGGCAGTTGTAACACAGTGGTAAGTATTTGCATTTCTAAACATAGAAAAGGTACAGTGAGAAAACTATAAAAGAGAAAAAAGTGGTACACCTGTATAAGGCCCTTGCCATGAATGGAGGTTATGGAACTGGAAGTGTCTCTTGAGTGAGTTGGTTAGTAGTGAGTGAATGTGAAGGCCTAGAATGTTATTGTACACTACTGTAGACTTTATAAAACTGTACACTTAGGCTATACTGTTTGTCTAAAAAGTTTTTTTCTTCAATAACAAATTAGCTTACTATAACGTTTTTACTTTATGAACTTTTTAATTTTTGAAACTTTGACTCTCTTATAATGATACTTGGCCTAAAACATACACATTCTACAGCTGTACAAAAATAATATTTATATCCTTATAAGCTTTTTTCTGTTTTTAAAATTTTTAATTTTTTTTTACCTTTAAAACTTTTGATAAAAACTAAAACAAAGATACAAACACACATCAGCGTGGGCTTATACAGGGTCAAAATCATCCATATCAATATCTTCTCCTACATCTTGTCCCACTATAAAGTCTTCAGAGGCAATAACATGGAGCTTTCATCTAGGAAAACTATGCCTTCTTCTGGAATACCTCCTGAAGGACTTGCCTGAAGCTGTTTTGCAGTTAATTTTTTTTAATAAGTAGGAGTACACTCTGTAATAATAGTAAGACATATAGTGTAGTAAATGCATAAACCAATTACATAGCCATTTATCATTATCAAGTATTATGTAGTATACATAATTGAATGTGCTTAACTTTTATACACTGGCAGTGCAGTAGGTTTTTTTTATACCAACATTATCTCAAACACATGGTAATGTGTTGCACTATAAATGTCTCTATTATCCCTTTACTTAAAATTTTTATATTACTTATCCTATAAGCTATTAATATTAAACATTTACTATTTTTTAAGAAATTAAATGTTTATTGAATATGTGCCATGTTAGTCAGTACGCTTAGTGCCCTGGAAAATGAAGAAGACAAGATTTCCTTTTTTTTTTTTAAGGTTTCCTGTGTTTCAAGAGATCACAGCAAAGTGGATGATACAGAAAGACAGACCTTGCAATAGGGTGTGAGAAAGGCCATGACAGAGTTATGCCCATTCTATTGTGGGAACACTAGAGGCAGGCTAGCTTCAAGTTCATTTGAAGATCAAGGCTCAGATCTAGGGAACATGTCCCTAACTTGTTCAGGCTGCTTTTTGGTTGGGCCCCATTTGTCTTCCAGCCTACCCTGTAGTCCAGTCATACTGAATGGCTCACTTTCTCCTGAATGTGGTGTGACCCTTCTTGTCTGTCTCAGGTGCTTATTTCTCTTTATTTGCTCAGTACATTGTTTCTACTCACCTTTTAAATCCCAACTCAAATAGTGCCTCCTGTCCTGCCTAACCCAGAAAGTTAGGTGCTCCCTTTCATGTGCCCACAGAACTCTGCTCATATCCTAAGGTTTATCACAGTACATTATCTGCATTATCCGTTCGCGCGCATGCTCTCTCTCCTCTCTCTCTCTCTCTCTGTCTCCCTCCCTCCCTCTCTCTCCCTCCCTCCTTCCCTCCCTCTCCCCACCTCCTTCTCCCTCTCCCTCCCTCCCTCCCCTTTGACACTCACAGCTCTTCAGAGACAAAGATGGTAATCTAAGTGTCCTCGTACTATGATACCTAGCTGGCATATTAGTTAAAGTAAAATACCAAATATCGTGAGTCTTAATTAACTTTACTTTATCTTAATTAACTTTACTGTAATTAACTTTATGTTATCTTATACACTTTTGGTTTATACACTAGTACACTTTTTCATTTTTGTAATACTTACACCTGCCAGGCATCCTTCACATTTGTTTAGTACATTCCATTAAAATCACAAAGCTACTATAGGACTACTATATGCTAGGTCTTGTGTTAGGTACTAGGAATGTAAAAATGAGTAAGGTTCATTCCTGCTGACAAGGGGCTCACAATGGAGGAAAGAAGACAGATAAACAGACACCTGTCACAATTTCTACTCAGTATGAAGTGTGATAGATGCTATGATACCAGAAAGCCCAGAGTGCTTTGCGGTAGGCATGACAGTGATACATAGAAGTATAACTCACCTAGTTGCTTGGAGTCAGGGAAAGCGTCCCAGATGAACTGCACTTTGAGTTGAATCTTGAGAAAGGAAAGAAGCAGAAAGGGAGCAGCTTGGAAGGATGAGAGAGACCAAGATGCTCTGGGGAAACTGCAGCTTGTTCATTCTGATTCGACTAAGAGTAGGGCTTCAGACAGAGAACAGAGAGAGTCTAGACTGGATCTGTAGACAGGGTTCGGATTGTTATCTGATCAGACTATCATACTTAAGTGTTTAAACTGTTGTATTGGAGGTAGTGGAGAGCCACTGAATAATTTTCAGCAAGTTTCAATCAAATTTATGTTTGTAATGTTATGTTTTGTAGCTTCTGTGCTTCCTTCCCTCCTCCTTTTTCATATATTTTCATATTCTATCTGATTATTTCCCTTATTTGTAAGTGGTGCTTTGATATTTTCTTTGTCTGCTCAGTTGGAGTATTCTTAAATACTCAATGTCAGGTATATAACCACTTATCTCTCACCATCTATGGGAAAGAAGTATTAAATAGAGATAATGTATCAGTTTTGCCAGTGTTCTGTGTGTTAGTTTACTGCTTAATTTTGAGTTGTCTTTTTCTCTTACTAATGCACTATTCGAAATTTGATTTTCTTTTAATTACCAATTTGATTTTGTTTTAATTACCAATTTAATTACCAATCTTGTCTTGTGGAGACATAAAAGATACTACAATGAGTAACAGCAGTCAAAATACCTGCCAAGCCAGAAATTCACCATCCCTTTGGTGATTTTTTATTTAAAGAAGAACAAGCATGGTAGTCTTGTAGTCCCAGCTACTCGGGAGGCTGAGGCAAGAGGATCATCTGAGCCCAGGAGTTTGAGCCCAGCCTTGGGCAACGTAATGACTGTTTCTGTTGTCTGTCTCTCTCTCTGTCTCTCTCACTCTCTTTAAAGAAGAGCATGAAATTCCTAATAAGCCACAAAGGGTTAATTATATTATTCCAATATTCTTAAACAAAAAGTAATTATTTAAATAATATTGTATATATGAGATCTTAAGTTGGGTTTTTTTAGATAATTTTAGAATAGGTGGCCTTTGCAAATTTAACTAGAAATTTGAGATTTGTGTGACATTATTAATACCTCACAAAATTTATTCTTGTTACTGAGTAAAATCAACTAGCTAGTTGTATAAAATCTAGCTGCAGCCATATACCTTGTTGGGCTTAATTTTCTGCATCAAAATAATGTTTGTGTTAGATGATTTCTAAAGTGTTTTTCTGTTTACAATTTTTGTATCCTTCATCTAATGAATTTTTCCAAATTATTTTTTATGTAGTACACACATGGTCTTCTGAAGAAGCCATGGGTAGCTGTTGTAGCTGTCCAGATAAAGACACTGTCCCAGATAACCATCGGAACAAGTTTAAGGTCAGTAAAACTGGTTGAGTTGTATATCTTACTGCCTACTTGGATATTCTTCTTTTATTTCACTTAACATATCTTACTCCTGGCTTTTATCACCAAACTCTTCTATTTCCCTTTCTTTCTGCCCTGTCTTTTCTTGATTTAATAAATGATGACAACGTTTTCTTACGGTACAGAATTTTTTTCAGTTTTCCTTTGGTCCTCTGTATCTAATTAGCCATACAATTCTGGTAACGCTGTCTTTAAACTGCCATTTCACAGGGTTCCTTTTCAGTTGAATCACCATCTGTTTTTCAGTTATTATTTTCATGGGTACCTGCATGATTTTTTAACTGGACTCTTACCTCAAGTCACCCTCTGATTCATCCTGTAGTCAACATCAAATTAATCTTCTTCTTTCATCATTCACTAACCTGTTTGCCAAAACTCTGTGCTGTTATGTTACCTATAGGCTAAATGCTCCCATAGTTGTTTTGTGTCTCATAATCTGACCTCAATCTGTTATAAAGAATAGCCTTGATCACACAAACCTAGGTGTGAGTCTGTTACTTTATAAGCTTTGTGACCTCGGGCAGGCTACATTATTACTAAGTCTTACTTCCATTTTTTTGGACAATGTAGTCTAGGATTGTTATGAGGGTTAAGTGAGAAAAATTATACATATAAAACTCTTTTTTCACTCCCAGGGGAATAGTAACTTCTCCCTAAATGTTATCTACTATCTTAGTCTTTGGATGTTTTCTGAAGCTCAGCAGTCCAAAACCTTTGCTTATGTGAACTCCATGCCAATCTTATTTTGATCTCTTTGAAAGGTACTTTCTTTGTTCTACTTTAACATTGTGTCTTCATGATGTACCCTGTATCTCCTGATCCACTAGATTTCCCTTCTTATTTTATTTTGTGCATAAATTTAATTATACTAGCAGTCCAGCTAAAGGTCTTTTTCCTCTTACATGAAGGTGTCTCAACAGCCTTAGACCACAGTTCCTGCCTTCTGCAGTCTCTGTTGCATTTGTCACTTAATCATATATGTTTTGTGGTTTGTATATTTTGTTTCCTCAGTGGGAATATAAATTTCTTACAGATCTGAACTGAGTGTTACACTGCTACATAGATCATGGCTGACACACACATTATTTGATGAATGAACTAACAAATTACAAATAACTAATTAGCAACAATGCATTTTCCTGACAAATTGGTGAAATATTTGTATGACTGTTACTTTTTTTTTAGGTTATTAATGTGGATGATGATGGGAATGAGTTAGGTTCTGGCATAATGGAACTTACAGACACAGAACTGATTTTATACACCCGCAAACGTGACTCAGTAAAATGGCACTACCTCTGCCTGCGACGCTATGGCTATGACTCGAATCTCTTTTCTTTTGAAAGTGGTCGAAGGTGTCAAACTGGACAAGGTAGAACCTTTGTGTTTTTTTCCAAATATTATATTTGAAATATTGCTCTTCCAGCTATTTTATATACAAAGATTAAATTCATATTTTTTCTCCTGAGAAAAATACCAAAATAAATAGATTGTTAAGAAAAGATATAATATACTATGTATTAATTTATCAAGTTTTTATTAAGCATATTGTCTATGCGGGAAATTTGGCTTGTGTTAACTTCAAGATTTTTTAGTAAATGATTAGGCCTGCTAAATTGACTGTCTTTATCATTGGTTTTTTTTTTACTACCTACTACTTGAATGGCCTTGACAAGTTACAAGACTTCTGTTGAATGTTAAGTTTCTCCTCTATAAAACGGAAATGGTAATACCTATCTTATAATTACTGTAATAATTAAACAAGGTAACGATTGGAAAACACCTAGGGACTTTGCAAGGGGCCTGTTACATGGCAAATGATAACCTTGGAATGGTGAGTTAGGCTCCCCCTGCTGTTAAAAAACAGACTAGTGTAACTGTGCAGGTCTTGATTTCATTAGCTTTATTTTGGGCCATCTCCTTTGGATGAATGAAAATTATTCTGTAAATTTTTGGCAGGGGTTTGTTTTGAAACAGGGAATAATCAGTGATTTATTATATATTTATTTAAAAGGTATTTCTTACTCTTGATGCATAGAATGCTTACTTTACAATTCTGCTCTTCGTCAAGTGTTCCTATAGTTTTTTTAAAGGTATATTAACTATTTTTCCCTTTTGGTTTATATTTGTAGGAATCTTTGCCTTTAAGTGTGCCCGTGCAGAAGAATTATTTAACATGTTGCAAGAGATTATGCAAAATAATAGTATAAATGTGGTGGAAGAGCCAGTGGTAGAAAGAAATAATCATCAGACAGAATTAGAAGTCCCTAGAACACCTCGAACACCTACAAGTAGGTACCCATTTTTCCTCTCACATTTTGAGTAACAGGTGTTTAGTTCTAAGCTATAGATTATGGATATTTAATCTGTAATACACTGGAAATCACCATTGGATAACAGAAGTATAATGGTTGTCAGTTTTTAAAAACAGCTGTAATTCTAAGTATGTCAAATATTTTTAAAATGAAAACATTATTTCATAGTATCTAAAATATGGAGTGGGTGGGTAATACTATTTGTGCTCTGATTTCTGCTGTCTTGGCAGAAAGACCTTCTGTAATCCTCTCAGTACAGATTCGATTCTTACTCATTTTTATTCTCTTTGCCCTACCCTGTTCTTCCTTAAACCAATAAACAAAAACTCAGCTCCAGGATTTGCTGCTCAGAACTTACCTAATGGATATCCCCGATATCCCTCATTTGGAGATGCTTCATCCCATCCTTCAAGCAGACATCCTTCTGTGGGAAGTGCTCGCTTGCCTTCAGTAGGGGAAGAATCTACACATCCTTTGCTTGTGGCTGAGGAACAAGTAAGCATGTGCTACTGTGTAACAACAGCAATAATGATTCTTCAGAGTTAGCCTATCACTGTACTAATACAGGAAGATTTTATTCAGCCTGAAATTTAACTTTCACTGTTTGTAAATTACTTTCATAGTGAACAGTCAGAGGAAATAGCATATATTTGCTGGTGTATGCTCAAATACATGTGGGTATTCAGGGGAACTTAGCATTACAGAAGCTTGTGGGTTCACAAGAGGTGTATCTACCTACAGACTAAGAAAGCCATAACTTATGGTCATTTCTCATTATAAGAACCTCTAGTGGATTAAAAGTTTATGCTGCTTTTCATATTTTAGTCATTATAGTCAGTGAACTACTAGTAGAAAGGTAAATTTTGCTGTTAATGTTATGGAGTTATTTAGTGTTCCTGAGTATTCTAGTTTTCATGTATGGAATGAAGTATCTGGTTGGAACCGCTGTATTAATTAGTTATACTTATGTTTTGTAAACTGTATGTCACATTAAAAAGTTTTTCGTGTTTTTAAAATCAGTTTCTTTGTGTTCTTTACATGGTGAGTTCTTATTTACTGTAATTACATTTTTTCTTTATTTATTTTTGAATCTTTAAACTTTTATATATAGTCTTCTAAATATTTTTATATTATTTCCCCGAAATATCATTAAACTTTTATAAATAGTGATAATTTCTTACTAGGTGGCATTTATTTTATATCTATGCATTTTATAGAACTCTTAATAAATCTAGTAGAGTTTATCTCCTTATACAGTCAGATCATCAGTAATTAAGGATAAATTTATCTCTTCCTTTTCAAAGTTGTTATTTCTTATTTCTGAGTCATGTTTTAATGCTTTGATGAGAACCTCTACAACAGCAACAAAATGGTAATCTCTATTTTGTTCTTGATTTTTGTACTAATTCACTTTCTGTTTTGTTTTAGGTACATACCTATGTCAACACTACAGGTGTGCAAGAAGAGCGGAAAAACCGCATAAGTATGCATGTTCCATTGGAGGTGAGGGTTTCTAACGCTGAAAGCAACACACCAAAAGAAGAACCAAGTAGTATTGAAGACAGGGATCCTCAGATTCTTCTTGAATCTGAAGGGGTCAAATTTGTTTTAGGGCCAACCCCTGTTCAAAAGCAATTAATGGAAAAAGAGAAACTGGAGCAACTTGGAAGAGATCAAGTTAGTGGAAGTGGAGCAAATAACACAGAATGGGACACTGGCTATGACAGTGATGAACGAAGAGATACACCCTCTGTTAACAAACTGGTGTATGAAAATATAAATGGGCTATCTATCCCTAGTGCCTCAGGGGTCAGGAGAGGTCGTCTGACATCCACCAGTACCTCAGATACCCAGAATATCAACAACTCAGCTCAGAGAAGAACTGCATTATTAAACTATGAAAATCTACCATCATTGCCTCCTGTTTGGGAAGCCCGCAAGCTAAGTAGGGATGAAGATGACAATTTAGGACCAAAGACCCCATCTCTAAATGGCTACCATAATAATCTAGATCCAATGCATAACTATGTAAATACAGAGAATGTAACAGTGCCGGCAAGTGCTCACAAAATAGAATATTCAAGGCGTCGGGACTGTACACCAACAGTCTTTAACTTTGATATCAGACGCCCAAGTTTAGAACACAGGCAGCTTAATTACATACAGGTTGACTTGGAAGGTGGCAGTGACTCTGACAACCCTCAAACTCCAAAAACGCCTACGACTCCCCTTCCACAAACCCCTACCAGGCGCACAGAGCTGTATGCCGTGATAGACATCGAGAGAACTGCTGCTATGTCAAATTTGCAGAAAGCACTGCCACGAGATGATGGTACATCTAGGAAAACTAGACACAATAGTACTGATCTGCCCATGTGAGCCTGGAAAGCATTATGTTGTTTGCACCTTTGTGAAGTTTTTAAAAATGAAGATGCAAGTGCTTCATTTTCATTTCTAAACACTAACTCCTTTTATAGACTGATAAAATTTTTTCTGAATATTTCATGTGCATCTTTAACTAAAGGGAATTAATGTAGAGCAGGTACTCCTTAAAGAACACTAATTTCATTATATACTACTCATTGTACAGCAGCATTCCCATTTTCACAGTGCCTATTTAAAATGAGAGTTGAATGAATGACATGCTGGTTGATTTTTATCAATATTATGGACTTATGCATATCTTTCATGTCTAAGTCATGGTTGGCTTTTAAAATTTTTCATAAAGCCTCTTGACAATGTGCATTGCTAACAGATAACTATAGGCTTTGAGAGTAATGCTCATAGATTCACTCTTCACAGTATGTGGCCTCCAGCATGTAACATGAGGAATTCTTTATTTCATTAATTAAAGGCTTTTTAACTTGAGCCAAAACATACGTAAAGGAAACAGAAGTACCACACCTCCTCTTATACTAGTCAGCTCCTTTGCCTTCAGTGTTACTAGAAAGAAGCCTGTGTCCATGAATATGGTTTGCTGTTGGTGCATTGAAAGGCAGGAAGGGGACAAGATTTTCTATTTACTCATCTCATGATGTCATTTGAAGTGCGTGTCCAGATATCTTACTCAGAATTATTATAGGCTCAAGAATCAGTCTCAGGTCACTTTACCCAAAAACATTTGAAAATCTGAACCATGATCTCTTGAAAGTTTCTCTCCTATAGATTATTGACAACATGTTGTTTTCTGGAGGCATTTGTGCCATTAGGTTTTCATTTATCTTTGGCTTTTTCTTTGGTGTTTGGGATGTCTTATTTTTGTTGCCGTGTGTCCTTTTCACTTTAAAATGTCTGAGTTTGTATATAGTTTTGAAATTGGACTATGTGTTTATTGTTGTTTAGTTTGCATTTTTGTCAAATTACGGTTTTGAAGGTTCATTTGGAACTTACTGTTATTCTATAACAGGGTTACCCTTGTCCAGTATTTATTTATATGCTGTTTACTTTTCAAGTTGATAAAAACAGTTTCTCAATTCTAAATTTCCTGTGTCCATAGGTGATCTCTTTAGCAACTGAGAAAAAAAGGAAGATAACTTTTAACATGCAAAGTTCCCTCCAGGTGTACTATGTTTTCTCTGTGGGCACTCTCCCCAGCACTTTAGCAGTAATTCCCCAGCTACACACTGCAGTTGTACTCTGCCCACTCTAGTGTTCCTCAGCTCTGCTGTCCTTTTTCTTGTAGCTGGATCTTTGATTATCCTTTGATTTCCATGAAATATTAATATTGTTGCCAGCATAGCAGGTACAGTGGAAGTCTTGTAGCAATGAGATTGTATCATAATTTAGGATTTAAAATGAATTAAAGTTTATATAAACTAAAGAGTCTTCATATGTCAAACTCTTGGAAAATTGAAGATGTTCCAATTTCCTAAACACTAGAGAATACGAGAGAAGGTAGAGTGGAAAAAGGTTAGGTAACCTTGCAAAATATTTTACTCTTTTCTCTAAATATGAGGAAGTTTGAGATTATGATCTGGATCTACCAGATGTAACAAAGGTTAATTTAGCATGAAAAAGTTTTAGTCATATTAGCATCCATCCTATTCAGTAAATAAACAAATCATAGGACAGTGATGGATTAGCAGAACAGTAGAGTGGGATCATTATAAAGAAAATAAATTATTAAAGGTGTCTTTATCGTTTTCAGTGCCATTTTTATTGTCTTTATTATAAATCAGTATCAGTGTCTTTTATCATTCTATGTGCATAGCAGGATTTTCTTTTCCCCCTTTTGTTGCCCCATGAACTTGGTGCTTATTAAAGTGTTCACTGTTCTCTTAAAAGAGAGCAGTGGTATAGGTGTGCAGTTTCCCTGATGCAGGTTTCATTTTTAATATATTGTTCCACTTATTCTTTCTTCTAAGTAAATTGCTAATTGTGCCAAATTTATGTAATAGTTTTTGTAATGTGGAATAAGAATTATGATGGAACCAATGCACATAGTTTTTTCTGAAACAAGCAGTCAAGGCAGAACATTAATCTCCAAATGAAAGGGCTGATCTATTTATTCATTTTGGAGGTTGGATACTTTATTCTTTCTTTCCATCATCCTTTTCATTGTTTCCTTCAGATTCTAATTAGTTTTTCTTTTTTTAGATAACTCCAATATAATCATTGCTGTTTATGCTTTAAATACTATGTGCTTTAAAAATGAAAATGGGACCAATTTGTCTGCTAAGAATTTGATTTTAGGTACTATAAGAGTATTAGGAAGATATATACGACTGGTGTTAATTTCTAGTTGTCTTCTAGAAATCACTTGTGTTCCTATTTAATAAAAGGTAATTTAGAATACTACTTGTCCTTTGCAGTAGTTTAGTAATGGGCATTAAGCTGTGTCCTGGAAGGATGTACCTATTAGTAGGTGCATTTTAGAATGAGATATTAATATTTTATTAGCATATAATTGTGGCCATATGTCTCAGATTTTCTGAGGCAGATCTAATTTTAGATATTCTGTTAGTAGATCATGTGATCCTTCTTTTTGGTTTTGGAAATATAATCACTGTTAATGTTTTCCCTCCAAATAGAATACTGTTTTATCCATATAAATCATAACAGCATCTATCCCATGCCAGGGTTGGAAACTGATACTGGTATTACCTGTGTTTTTTCTTCACATGTTTTATTTCCCAGTTTCATCTTCTTTTAAAAATGAAAATATGGTGCCTTCCCTCCCTCCAGGAAGATTGGCAAATAGTTCCTTTTATTTACTGCTGCTGTGGAGTGATGAGATATGCACTTTACTCTTGAAGATTCAGCAAAAAGCTTTTCACTTCCCAGTATATCCAGAATACATCACATCTGGGACTTAGGAAAATTTGCCAAGCAATCTTTGTTTTTATAGATATTAATGTTGATCCCCCCCATTCAATGTTATAAGAACAAGTCAAGCTAGTGTTTGTTTATCTCCTCTCCCTCCCCAAAACTGTGGCACAGCATATAAAAATGTACCTCAATAATGTTCTATTAAAAATGGGACAGGGGCCTTATGTTTTCATAATTTCCCAACAATGTGCCGCCATATTTTTGCCTCAAGTTAAAGGTTTTAACAGACTTAAAAGTACTTCCCAATTCCCTGTGCTATTTCTAACCTATGATGCCCAAGTGTTTTGTGCAATGTGTAGTGTGTGTGTAGAAATCCATATATTCTTGAAATAGACACACCATCAGAGACATCATTCACAAGTAACTGATGTATTGGCATCTCATTCATATTTCTGATGTGTGAGGTATATGGTACTAATTACCTTTTCCTTGATGTTTGCCAAATTTGAATAAAGACATTGGTACGAAATTACAGAATGTAAAGAAAATGTTTTTGGCTTGAAAAATTAACAAATATTTTATGACATACCACAGTATACTCTGCCCAAACCAACACTGTATCTATCTTTCCTGTTCTTTACATCCCTGTTCCCCATTCTTACTTCCTCATTTTTTGGGGGTATAACAGTTCTTTTGTAGCATCCTTATAATTGCAATTCTATGGCAATTGGACAATTATAGCATGGAAACAGACTGGTATTAATCGTACAGTAGTCACCAGTGTGCCACATTTGCATTAGTAATGCAAAATATACATTTTATAAGGAACAAACTTTGTGTTATGTTTTATTTTCATTACATTGTATAATATTGTAAGATTATTGTATGTCCTAATTTGCATTATATATGTTTTTTTCCTACGTAAAGGCATAAATATAGCAACTTTGTATAAAGGTAGCTTATTAGATTTTTAATTTTTTCTTTTATAAAAAAATTGTCTAACAGTGGGACTACCATTGCCAAATTGTACATGAAATATGAATTTTACCCCCATGGTTAACTTCTTTTATAAACATTCCATATTTCTCAAATAAAAGACATAAGTGATACTATACTATGCATAAATTGTATCTTAATGCTGTTTCAGATCAGCATTTTAAGTTTTGGTTTGCATTTTTACTATTGGCAAAACGTAACCACTGTTAATTAAAATAAAACCTTGTATATGTAACAACATAATTTGCCCTCTGTCCCTTCCCACCCTTTGTTCTCTATTTCTCCCTATCAGTGCCAACTTCATACATTTTGTAGCATGGCAATAAAATATAACTTTTACACTGAGGCCGAGTGTGGCTTTTTGGAGGAAGTGGGGATGGGATGATTGCTCTCTAGTTCTCCTTTGCATATGACTCTCTTTGCCAAATAAGCCATGTCATCAGGCACGAAAAGTTCTCTCATACACGATGTAAACATGCTTTAAGGACAAGTGTGAATGTGCTTCTAAACTTAATTTTTGTCATGACAACTATTTTTTTTATCTTTGGAGAAGTCAGAGTTCTTGAAGTACAATCAAACCTTTATTAACTGGAGTACTTATAATAAGCTAGTAATTGAATTTAGTTCAACAAGGGCTAAGCAACACATTTTTAAAATCCTTATTATAGAGTATTAGTATACTTTCCTACAAATTATGTAAAATATGGTTTAATCTTAGATGACTTAGGATTTTGCAATGCCTTACTGTTGTCATTTTGGCATAAATATCCATGATGAGGTACTCAAGTTGATACTGGAAGCTGAGCTGACCATACACTAACCTGAAGCATTCATGAAAAACTGCTTTGTTGAATAAAGTCTGATTGGAGTTCTTTTCATGCTCACTTTCCCCTTATTGCTGAAAGTAGATTGCAGTAAAAACCCCAATAAAAAGTTTGGTTGGATATTTACTTAAAGTTTTATTGTATTTATATTTCACATATTGCTTGAAATTTTAACATTTTCTTTTCTAGTCTCATAACACTGCCTCTATTTTCCAAACAAATGTATAGTAAGATACCGAAATGAAATTGTAAATATTTGACAGGCTCTGTATGATCATTCCAACTAGACGTTCTCAGCTCTGAGACTTCAAACCTGTTTTTAGCCACTGAGTGACATTGCAAAGCCTTAGTTGAGTACAGGTCAAGATTAAAATTATTTAAACAATGAAGGGGGTGGACATGTCCACAAATGATTGATGTAACTGGCATGATAAAGACACACACAAAGGAAGGGCATTCAACTCAGCCTAGGGGTGGTTTTCAAGCAAAGCTTCTTGGAGGGGGTGATCCCTGAGGTGTTTTGTCGAAAGCCTTTGTAGCTTAGAGAAAGAGAGGATGTCTTAAGGAGAAGGGATAGCATGTGCAGTCAGAGATATAGAAAGATCATGACATTCAGTGGTTGGTTCCAAGAGGTTCCAAATGACTAGCACATGGAGAGCAAAGGCAGGGTTGGGGTATAGAGAAGAAAGGAGAAATGAGAAACATCACATAGAATCCTAAGGAGCTTCTGTTTAAATTAGGTGAGAGAACTTGAAGGATTTTAAACACCAGAAAAATGATAGTTTAGAAAGATTACTCTGATAACGTGTACATGAAGGGCACAGTATTTTAAAGCAGGGAGACTGGTTAAGAGGCTTTTTTTAAGAAATGGAGCCAGATCTGATAAAAGCCTATTCAAAGGCATTGTTAAAGGACCGTTTAGATATTTGTTGCTGTGCAACAAACCACCCTAAAATTTCATGGCTTAAAGCAGCAATCATTTTGTTTCTCAAGTTGCTATAGCTCGGGATGGGCAGGGCACAGCAGAGACGGCTTATCTCATAAGATGTCTGGAGGCCTAGCTTCCTCACATGTTTTGTGTCTCAGCTAGTGTGGTTCAAGCAGCTGAGGTCTGGCTGGACCAGTTCAACCAGTTCATGTCTGGTACTTCAATTCTAGCTGTCAACTGTTTTCCTTAGTTTTCTTCCATGTAGTCTTGGGTCATTCTTCATGCGGTCTTACATGGCAGCTTAGGGTTTCCAAAAGCACAGAAGTAGAAGCTACTAGGCTTTCTTGAGGTCTAAGCCCAAAACTGGCACAATGTCATTTCTGTTGTATTTTGTTGAATTATGCTAGATTATGTAAAGGCATAAATATCAAAAATGTAGTTTATTCAGGGCCACCATTTAACAGAGGGCCTAAAGGAGAAAGAATCAACACTTCTGATTGACAAGGGAAATGACAGAAATGGAGGGGACAAGGATGACCCCAGTTGTCTGGTTTGGGTGACTGTGATGGTTGATGGTGTCAGTCCAGTGAGATTTAAAATATATTCGGTGGCTGGGCATGGTGGCTCAGGCCTGTAAACCCAGCACTTTGGGAGGCTGAGGCAGGCGGATCACCTAAGGTCAGGAGTTGAAGACTAGCCTGGCCAACAAGGTGAAACCATGTCTCTACTAAAAATAGAAAAATTAGCCAAGCGTGGTGGTATGTACCTGTATCCCAACTACTTGGGAGGCTGAGGCAGGAGAATTGCTTGAACCCAGGAGGCTGAGGTTGCAGTGAGCCAATATCGTGCCACTGCACTCCAGCCTGGACAACAAAGACTCTCTCTCTCTCTCTCTCTCTCTCTCTCTCTCTCTCTATATATATATATATATATATGAAACTTACATATATTTATGTGCACTTGGGGGCTAGAGGTTTGAAGAGAAAGATGGTGGGTTCCACTGGGGACTTAGTTCATGGTCTGTGGGTCACCCACATGGAGATGTCTAGTAGGTGGTTAGATAGACAGATGGTTTCTGTCAGCAGCAATTTCCCCAGTGATAAATCCGGACAATCTTTTTAAAGACAATTTTTAAAGATGTTATAAATGACAGCCCTCCAGAATACCCTGTTTTATTACGACACTTCTCACAACTGTACAAAGCAAAGCTTCACTCAAACTAGCCAGGCTCAAAGCACAGAAATAGAAAGTTAGATATTTCTACCTTACCTCTCTCCCGTGCTGACATTCATCCCTTCCTGTGCACAGCCATAATAAAAGCCAACATTTACATAGTGCTTTTTATTTATTTATTTATTTATTTTTAGACTGAGTCTTACTCTGTTGCCAGGCTGGAGTGCAATGGTGCGATCTTGGCTCACTGCAACCTCTGCCTCCTGGGTTCAAGGGACTCCCTGCCTCAGGCTCCCAGGTAGTTGGGACTACAGTTGTGCACCACCATGCCTGGCTAATTTTGTATTTTTAGTAGAGACAGGGTTTCATCATGTTGCCAGGATGGTCTTGATATCCTGACCTCAGGTGATCCGCCTGCCTCAGCCTCCCAAAGTGTTGGGATTACAGGTGTAAGCCACCGCGTCTGGCTATATAGTGTTTCTTATGTGATAGGCACTTTATTAATGCTTTTCAACCTCAGGATAACCATAGGAGATCATTTTGATTATTCCTATTATACAAAAAAATAAAACACAGATTTGTTAAGTAACTTGTTCCAGGTCCCATCTTGTAATTTAGAGCCAGGATTTTGAATCTAGGCACTTTTCTATGGAGATGTTCTTAAATGTGGTTTGTTTCTCATTCTACACACTTGATCTAAGTACTAAGAAGTCTTTATCCATCTCTGCTTTCCTTTTGGGTGACTCTCTTGCAGGATATAATTGATCTTGTCCAATCTTCACTCCTAAGATAACTACCTAGTCAAGACCAGAAACATTTTACTTATTTTCTGATTTGAAAAGATTGGTGATATGCAAAGGCCTAAAGAAGTTCGGCTACTCTGCCAGGTGCAGTGGCTCACGCCTGTAATCCCAGAACTTTGGGAGGCTGAGGAGGGTGGATCACTTCAGCCCAGAAGTTTGAGACCAGCCTGGGCAACATGGTGAAAACCTGTCTCTATGATAAAGTACAAAAATCAACAGTGTGGTGGTGTGTGCTTGTAGTCCCAGCTACTCAAGAAACTGAGGCAGGAAGATAGATTAAGCTTGGCAGGTTGAAGCTGCAATGAACTGTGATCATGCCACTGTGGTCCCGCCTGGGCAACATAATGAGACCCTGTTTTTTTTTTCTTAAGTGCTACTCTAAGTGTGCATCACAGTTTGTACACTGGTTCTTGTGTACAAACTATCACAGTCTGCAGCAGGAGAAATATCAAGTCTTCTAACCTTCACCTTATTACCCAAACAGTAATCTGGATGGACCCAACTCAGTGTGACTGTGGACTCCTGGTCCTTTATTTGGTTTCCTTTCCCAGGTATTCTGAGTGTTCCTGAGGAATGTAGACAAGTCCCATAACTCTGTTCTGGTGGTGGTTTTCTACTTCAGCTAGTTATTTCACTCCAGATAATGAATCCACCCTTGCTCCCAAATCACCTCTAGCCATCAAATAATGATATGCTATAGTGCTTTCCTACTTCCACATCATGCCAAGCATACCCAACCTTAGCTACTATATTTCACAAAGCTTATTAAAAGACTGGGGATAGAATGATAACAATAGCTAAGCTAAACAGCTTACAGTAGGCCAGACACTGTTCTAAGCTATTCAATCTTTGTGATAATTAGCTCCATTTTAAACAAAAGAAAATTGAGGCACAGAGAGATTATATAACTGGAGGCTGGCCAGTTAAAAAAAGCCAACTCACTGAAAGCCAAATAATACCAAGGGGAAGAGAGAGGAGGACATGGGGTCATAGAGAGGAGAGGGTCACAAAGACTTTGAGGGAGGAGAAGAGGTTAAGAGAAGCAAAGACCAAGGGACTTGAGAGTAGAGGACAGATGATGAGCCAGGAGAAAGTCACACAACGTGTTTAATCACAGAAACATGGATTCCCAAGGTCTCACTACCTCCCTAGGCCCTGTAACCTATCTAATACAAACTGCTCTGAAATGCATAAATAAGTCAGGCACAGTGGATTCCACCCGTAATTCCAGTAGTACTTTGAGAGGTCAAGGTGGGCAGATCTCATGAGCTCAGAATTTCAAGACCAGCCTGAGCAACATGGTGAAAACCAAAAATATACAAAAAAATACAGGCACATGCCTGTATTCCCAGCTACCCGAGAGACAGGTGGGAGGATCGCTTGAGGCCAGGAGGCAGAGGCTGCAGTGAATGGGCATCACACCACTGCACATCCCAGCACTTTGGGAGGCTGAGGTGGGCAGATTGCTTGAGGTTAGAAGTTTGAGACCAGCCTGGCTAACATGGTTAAACCCTGTCTCTACTAAAAATACAAGCTGGCCATGGTGGTGCATGCCTGTAGTCCCAGCTATTCGGGAGGCTGAGGCAAGAGAGTTGCTTGAACCCAGGAAGTGGAGGTTGCAGGTAGCTGAGATCATGACACTGTATTCTAGCCTGGGTGGCAGAGAGAAACTCCATCTCAGAAAAAAAAAGTATGAACAGCTAAAGGAGAGTTTTTGGTAAGCCACCAAATTGATTACGCTCTGAATGACCTTCAATGAACTGATTTAAAGAGCCTGTGAAACCCATCCAAGATTAGAAAGATTACAAAGCTAGTATGAAAAATGGTTGAAATTCAAACTCGTATAGTCTGGGTCTAGAAGCTGAGTGTTTAGCCTCTGGGTGCAGGGGTGGGATCAAAGGAGGGGGAAGTAGGAAAGGAATAAGTGTCAAAAGATGCCATGGAGAAAGGACACATTTCCAGGGTCCTATTATAGGATCTCTTCCTGGCTGCCTCTAGCCTCAGTTCCGCAAAGTGGCAGGGCCTGCCTCCTTCTCCTCACCCAAATGCCTCTGGCTACATTACAGCCCAGCAGGGAGCAGTAGTTGGTTTCCCCATCACACACAGTCTCAGACTTGCCTACCAGAGGACATAATAAACATCTTCAGGTATGTAATTTTGCCCACAATAAAAACAACCTTTTTCAATATTGTGCAGGCATCTTAGTTTTTCATTGTGAATCTTCTTATTCCAGAATGTGATTTGGGATTTGCCTAGTAAAGTACATTTCCTGAAAGAAGACCAACTTTTCCTACAAAGAACAGAAAACTCTTAGGAGATTTAAAATAACAATTTGTCCAGCCCGAATCCCCCTTTTCACGTTGGACCTGAGGAATACCGTAAACCAGGGTCGGCAAACTTTTTCTGTAAAAAAATCAAATAATAAATGTTTCAGGCTTTGTGGGCCCATACAACTTGTCATGACTACTCAACTCTGCCATTGTGTAACTCTGCTATTGTACTGTGATGGTAAATATGAATGGGTATGCACATGAATTCCAACGAAGCTTTATGGACCCTGAAATATTAATTTCACAGAATCTTCATGTGTCAGGAAATTGTTTATTTCTCTCAACCACTTAAAAATGTAAAAACTGTTCTTAGGCCTGGCACGGTGGCCCACGCCTGCAATCCCAGCACTTTGGGAGGCCGAGGTGGGTGGATCACGAGGTCAGGAGTTCAAGAGCAGCCTGGCCAAGATGTTGAAACCCCGTCTCTACTAAAAATACAAAAATGAGCTGGGCGCAGTGGCACGTGCCTGTAATCCCAGCTACTCAGGAAGCTGAGGCAAGAGAATTGCTTGAACGTGGGAGGCGGAGGTTGCAGTGAGCCGAGATCACATCATTGCACTCTAGCTTGGGTGACAGAGTGAGACTCTGTCTCAAAAAACAAAAACAAAAACAAAAAAACTGTTCTTAGCTCTCACGCCATAGAAAAACAGTTGGCAGGCTGGGTTTGACTCCTCATAGCTTGCCAACCCCTGGTGGAAATCAATCCTCTAGAGGATATCTGAAGGGTAGAAACAACTAAAAATGGAAAATTCCTGATAATGTTAGCACTGTCAAAAATTCAGGAGACCCCAGCTACTCAGGAGACCGAGGCAGGAAGACTGCTGGAGCCCAGGAATTCCAGGCCAGCCTGGGCAACATGGCAGACCCCATCGCTTAAAAAAACAAAACAAAACAAAACAAAACAGGAAAAGAAAAATCCAGGAGCTTGTTAAGTGATCAGTTAGTCAAAGGGTGAAAAGCGGGTATCACCAGATGACAGAAAACAAATTTTTCTAGAGAACTAATTTTGCTTTAGACATCCGTCAACTTAGAGAAAGTAGAAAACTGTCTCTAATAAACTGAAATATTTGGGACTGATCTCGATCTCTGCCAAAACACTCACATGGTTTGGCAGAGATCGAGATCAGTCCCAAATATTTCAGTTTATTATAAACAAAGACTAATAAGTCGTCTCTACTATTAGAGGAAAAAAAAAAAAACAGACTGAAATGCAAAAATTCCTGAAAATGAGTAAATAAGGCAAAGATAAAATACTACAAATGTCTCTTGTCAGTTCACAAGACCTTATCCTGGGCAGTCAACGTCCAATTAGAAATAACGTTTGAAAATTTAATAAGAGAAAATGAAGTCTCCTTCTGTAATACACAGTAAATAATGTTTAAAATTAAAATAGCAATAATATTATCTGGTAATATGATGGTAAATAGCCCCTCCCAAAAACTGAAAAAGTTGAAAGCAATGGTATATAACATTTCAAACTGTGTACATATGTGACTTTAATACAAATGTTTCAAGATTAAATTTAAGAAAATAAAAATTAAAAGTGTGAGCAAGAACTCCATTGCTATGACAATCCGCGCAGCGGCCACCTCTTTGTTCTTAGGTTGTTCTTCTCTCAACCCGCCCCTTCCTCCTCCTCCTCGAGCGGTGGCCACGCCCCCTCTAGTGCGAAAGGCTGCGTTTCCGGCTCGTGGGTCTCGAATCAAAATGAGACACCGGCGGGCGGAAACGGCTGGTCGGCGGGGCGCGCAGGCTGAGGCTCCGCCCTCGACAGCAGGGCGTGTGACGTCACTTCCGGCTTCTGCCTGTCTGTCGGCCCCCGAGCACGAGTTGTGAAGGGATCTACTTGTGTGCAGAATCCCTCGGAACCATGGTGAGCCTGGCCCTCAGCCTCTTGCCCTGCTCCTGCCCCGCCGTGCCTTTGCCACCCCATTGCTCCCTCTGTCCTGCTAGCGTCATAGGCTCCATTCCTGTCTCCCGGGCCCGCCGCGCATGGTACGGGCCTTGGGGCCTGCGGCCTGTGCCAGGCCAGCCGCTGGAGCCCACTACGAGGGGGAGGGGTGGCCACAAGACCAGCGTCTCCTTCTGCCCAGACCGGGTTTCCATAGTCCCGGGAACCCAGGCCCACGCCTCACCCCAAGCGAAGAAATTTCTAGTGCGGGTCCTGCTCCGCCCTCCTCCTAGGGGCGGAGCCACCCGAAGGTGGAAGATGGAGGCCGCCGCGTTCACTCGCCCGCCGGGCGGCTGTACCCTTGATGATCTGCGACCCCTCCGTGCCTCATTCTTTGTTCCAGATCGTCTTTAGTCTCGGTATACGTAACTGTCAATGTCGCTGGTGTATAGTTAATACTCCTGGGGCCATTGTAAATCTGAAAAGCCTTTTGTCGCTTTCCTTCAAGTCCTTTCCTGCACTTAAATGCCTTCTCCGATGATGGAAGCTTTATTTGTTTGAAAACATTATTCTAAATGAATTTTCGGGTAGATTCCATTTGTAAGACTAGTGGAAGGCACCTCAGTATAGAGTATTGGTTCTTAAACAGAATGCCTCTTGGTTTTCCTTTTTAGGCGTCCCTTTCCCTTACACCTGTTAACATCTTCAAGGCAGGAGCTGATGAAGAGAGAGCAGAGACAGCTCGTCTGGTAAGCCTTGTTCTAACTATTGTTTTAAAGATAAAACTGGAGGCCAGGCGCAGTGGCTCACTGCTGTAATCCCTGTACTTTGGGAGGCCGAGGTGGGCAGATGAACTGAGGTTAGGAGTTCGAGACCAGCCTGGCCAATATGGCAAAACCCTGTTTCTTTTAAAAATATAAAATTAGCCGGGCGCGGTGGCTCACGCCTGTAATTCCAACACTTTGGGAGGCCAAGGTGGGCGGATCAGGAGGTCAGGAGTTCGAGACCAGCCCACGGTGAAACCCCGTCCCTACTAAAAATACAAAAATTAACTGGGCGTGGTGGAGTGCGCCTGTAATCCCAGCTACTCAGGAGGCTGAGTCAGGAGAATCACTTGAACCGGAAGGTAGAGGTTGCAGTGAGCAAAGATCGCACCACTGCACTCCAGCCTGGGTGACGGAGTGAGAGACAGTCTTTAAAAAAAAAAATACGAAAATTAGTCGGCGTGGTGGTGGGCATCTGTAATCCCAGCTACTCGGGAGGCTGAGGCAGGAGAATCTCTTAGACCCAGGAGGCTCAGGTTGCAGTGAGCTGGGATCTTGCCATTGCACTCCAACCTGGGTGACAGAGCAAGACTCTGCCTCAAAAATAAAGTAAATAAAGATGAAACTATTTTTCTCTTAAGACTGTAAAGGTGATTCTGATAATCTCCTTGGTTTTTACTCTAGTCTTCTTTTATTGGTGCCATCGCTATTGGAGACTTGGTAAAGAGCACCTTGGGACCCAAAGGCATGGTAAGAAAAATAGAAAACTTTTATGTTTTAATATTGTTTTAGAGCCTTTAGTGGAAATATATTAATAACAAACATTTTTATATGCTTTTTAATCTTTAAAATATTTAATTATAACAGTAAGACAAATGTATTATCCTTAGTAAAAATCAAACTAGCGAGTATCACCATCCCCAATCCATGCCCCTCCCCAATGACAAGTACTGTTATTTGCATCTACAACTTCTAATACTCTGTTTGCTTTTATAGAAGTATGTGTACTTTATTATGTATTTTCTTAGATATTCTCATGTAACAGATACTGTTTTATAAAACAGAGGTACTATTTACAAATACTTTTTTGTAGCTTGCTCTTTTAAATTGTTTTCAGGGTAAGTAAATAATACAGTCTCCTCTTTAACAAATAGTATTTTGCACCTTAATTATTTTATAATTCAATTATGGCTGTATTGATAGTTTTTTTTCATGGTTTTTGCAGTTACAGTGCTGAAACAAACGCTAGTGTCTCCCTGTGCTTCTAGTGTTTCTAGGGGTAGATACCACGGTTTTGTTACATGGTGTATGTATTGAAAACATTTGATGGATGGATACCACAAAATGGCCATCCAGAGTGTTTATACGCTAGCATTGTATGAGAATACCGATTGATGCATGCATTCTTCAAGATGTAATTATATCTTAACTTGAACCAATTATGTATCCTTTAGGACAAAATTCTTCTAAGCAGTGGACGAGATGCCTCTCTTATGGTAACCAATGATGGTGCCACTATTCTAAAAAACATTGGTGTTGACAATCCAGCAGCTAAAGTTTTAGTTGGTAAGTCTGAATATACTTTTTCACCAACCTAATAATATTGTTTGTTAATATTTTGAAATAACTTTTCAAATAAGCTGTGTTGACCAGCTGTACTGTCAATCAATTGATGTCCATTACTTTTTAATTATCATCATTAAAATACAAGCTGCAGGAGTGCCATAGTGGTAAAAGTGTTGCATTTTAGACCTCAGAGTTCTAAAGAATTTGTTGGATGAGGAAGCTTGATAAATATGTTTAGATTGGAAGTGAATATTTTGAAGAATTTAGTGCTAAGAAGCAATTTTGAGTTAATAACTAATTTCTTTTTCTAGACATGTCAAGGGTTCAAGATGATGAAGTTGGTGATGGCACTACCTCTGTTACCGTTTTAGCAGCAGAATTATTAAGGGTAAGAACAACTGAGCAACTCTGTTTTCCTACTGTGTTTTTGAATATCAGATAATCAAGTCCTTATTTCATCTTTACTATTGAGTGCTTAATACTTTTTCATTTATAACTTTTATAACTTTATTAATAGGAAGCAGAATCTTTAATTGCAAAAAAGATTCATCCACAGACCATCATAGCGGGTTGGAGAGAAGCCACAAAGGCAGCAAGAGAGGCTCTGTTGAGTTCTGCAGTCGATCATGGGTTGGTATACCAGAGTATTACTGTTTTAAATATTTAGTGTTCTTTCATAACATGCTCAGTGCAAGAAATCTAGAGGATACTGAAAAGCATACACAAAGATCATCTTGCTACGTCACCCCACTCCACAGTCAAACCTAGGTCAGCCTCCAGAGATGACCACTAAAGTTTGGGTTTTTAGTCTTTTTGTATCTCTAATCAAAATATGCAAATAAAGCCAACAGTATAATACTGTGTAGAGGATTTATTAGCTTCTTTTTAACCTAATTAAATACTAAGCACATTTTTGGATGTCAGTTTTCTATGCAGTATTTTAATAGTGTTACCCATTTGAGTATGTGGCTAGAATGACTATATTTACTTAACCCATTTCTAGGGGGAGATTTGTGTATTCAGCGATTTTTAGCTTTATAATAACAATGTTATAAAGAACATAGCCCACAAGTTTCTAAAGTGTAATTGTTGGGTCCAGAGGTAGTTGTGTGTGTTTTAAGACAAGGTTCCCTACCCCCAAACCTGGGCTGCATGGCAGGTGAAAAAATTGTCTTCCATAAAACCAGTCTCTGGTGCCAAAAAGACCGGGGACCACTGTTTTAAGGCACTTTCACATAGGTTATAAAATAAGCCTCTGGAAAAAAATTATTGATTTACCCGTCCACAGCTATATAATAGTGTTTGTTTTCCACATTCTTTTATTTATTTATTTTTTTTGAGACGAGTCTTGCTCTTAGAGTTGCCCAGGATAGAGTGCAGTGGCATGATCTCAGCTCACCGCAACCTCTGCCTCCTAGGTTCAAGCGATTCTCTTGCCTCAGCCACTCAAGTAGCTGGGACTTTAGGCATGCGCCCAGCTGATTTTGTATTTTTAGTATAGATGAGGTTTCACCATGTTGGTCAGGCTGGTCTTGAACTGACCTCAGGTTATCCACCCTCCTCGGCCTCCCAAAGTACAGGGATTACAGATATGAGCCTCTGCGCCCGGCTGTTTCTCATTCTTGCCAACATTAGATTTTTGTTTGCTTATGTGCCTCATCCCCAGCACCCCCAACTCATTTTTTTGGCATGTTGCCAGCTTGGTGGGCGAAAACATCCGTTAATTTGTGTTTCCTGATTACTGCCGAGGTTTACTTCTTTTCATATAGCTTACAAACTTGCCCAGTTAGGGTAAAATTATCTATTGACGTGAATATCTAGATAAATTTTGAAAAGTAAAGTAGGGTTAATATGTGTATTTGGTTGGTTTTATTTAGTTCTGATGAAGTTAAATTCCGTCAAGATTTAATGAATATTGCGGGCACGACATTATCCTCAAAACTTCTTACTCATCACAAAGACCACTTTACTAAATTAGCTGTAGAAGCGGTTCTCAGACTGAAAGGCTCTGGCAACCTGGAGGCAATTCATATTATCAAGAAGCTAGGAGGAAGTTTGGCAGATTCCTATTTAGATGAAGGTATGTATGAATGTTAGATACAAGAAGCTTTGATTAGATGCTGAGGGCTGAATGCTTGAGTTTTGGGACCAGTGGCACTTTATAAAGCCAGTGAACTTGTCTTTAAGGACATATCATGTACAACCATTTCTGTCGTTTTATTGACAGTGTAGTCTTCTTCCCACACTATTCCAGCATTGTCAATAATCTCTAGAGTTTACTTAACTACGATGAAGTTATTTACACTCTGATGAGGAGGAAATACATTTTCTTTTACTAGAAATCATCTGTTCTCAAATAGTATTTTTACCAGGATTATATGTATTCTCCAAGAAGGGTCTGGGTCAGTCAAATCATTGTGTTAGTTGGTCGCTGAGGATGTATGGTTGACTCTTGAACAACATGGGTTTGAACTGTATAGGTTCACTCAACACAGATTTTTTTTCAATAAATATAGTCAGCTTTTTGTATCTGTGGTTTGCACATGTGTAACCAAACATGCATGGAACATGCAGCATTCGCAGGATTTGAGACCCATGTATATAGAGGGTCAACTTTTCAAATTTACCCGTTCCAGGGTCAGCCTGGGACTTAAGTATGTGTGGATTTTGGTGTATGTGGCCATCCTGTAACCAGTACCCCTTGTTTGCATACCGGGGGATGACTTAATTTTTTAAAAAAATTAAAAAAAATTATTTAACAAATAATTATATATGTTTATAGGGCAAGAGGATCTAGTTCTTGAAGAGTGATAAATGAGTCTTAAGTACTTTTTTTTTAGTACATTTTGTTTGTAGAGTGTAGTTTTCCAAATCATCTTCACATTGTATTTATTTCACAAAATGGCCTGTCAAAAAGTATAGGCATTCTCAGAGAAGAAAAAAAAAGAATTACATAGTGCTTTACAACTTCTGCTTTTACCAGTGGTTTGGAGTCCTGGTTTTGCTCTATGTCATATGTCTTGATTTATTTTAAGATAGAGTCATAATTCTGAAAATACTCCTGGTTAAGTTTATATGTAAAAAGTGTGTAGCATTTCTTTTTTTTATTTTTGAGACGAAGTCTGGCTCTGTCGCCTGTGCATCAGTGTGATCTCGGCTCACTGTACCCTCTGCCTCCTGAGTTCACTCCTGCCTCGGCCTCTTGAGTAGCTGGGATTACAGGCGTGTGCCACCACGCTTAACTAACTTTTTTGTATTTTTAGTAGAGGCAGGGTTTTGCCATGTTGGCCAGGCTTGTCTCAAACTCCTGATCTAAGGTGATCCACCTGCCTCGGCCTCTCAAAGTGCTCTCAATGAGCCACCATGCCTGGCCGCTGTGTAGTGTTTCTAATAGGAGTTGGTGTAGGGAAGAAGCATTAAAACAAGAATAGTAGCACAAGCAGCACCATTCTTGAACGTCTGCTGTGTACTAGGAATTGTAGTAGAAACTTGAGTAATTTAGTCATCATGATGATTGGGTGAGTGAATATCAGGTGTACCTCAATAGAGTAGAAAACCCAAGATAATGGTGGCTTTATAAAAGAAAAGTTTCTAACATAACCAGAAAAGGCCTGGAAAGGTAAGTGGTGCTGGGTGGTTCATATGACGGTTTGGTTCCAAAGCAAGAGGACTAGACTGGTAGCTAGCACCTCTGCCACTGGTTACATTCCCGTTTTATAAATTAGTATCTGTGGTTGGATAATTCGTCCAAGGTTATATAGCCAGCAGCAGGGGCATGACTGGGGTCAAGTTTATCTGACTCCATTGTCCATGGTTTTTCCATTTTTACCACCAGCCTCAATACTTGAATATCTGATCCTTCAGTTTTTCTCTTGTGATGATTTTAAGCTAACAAAAGTGGACTTAACCTATTGTCTTTATATTGCAACCCATACAGATGTGTGTGTAGTATATATCTGAAACAAAAGTTTCAAAATGCTGTTTAATTTTACTGTCTGTGCTGTGCTCTCATATTTTCTGTTTTATACATTATTTTTTGATTTTGTAGTAACTTCCAGTGGAATGCTTTATACCAGGAATGTCCAAGGGAGAGAAAACAGTCATGGGTTCTTAGTTTCTGTTTCTGGTTTGGCCAGTAAAGCTCCTTCATCATCCCTCCTTTCTGCTTGTCACTAGAGAGAGAAAATCCATGGCTTTCAAGCTGCTAAAAACCTAAAACAAAGCAAAACAGCAACAACAAAATAAGGCGGGTTGGACAAGCTTGCTTTTATACCATCTAAGAGCTTGGTAAATTGGACTTTAATAGCTCTAGCTTTTTTGAAATAGTAATAAGATAAAGCAGACAGCTTTATAAGATTTACTAAGGCTGCTTTGAAGTATTAAATGTGATACCGTTCTTATATTTATTATAGGCTTTCTGTTGGATAAAAAAATTGGAGTAAATCAACCAAAACGAATTGAAAATGCTAAAATTCTTATTGCAAATACTGGTATGGATACAGACAAAATAAAGGTATGTAACTCTACTTCTTAAAAATTCAGATTGCTGGCTTCTGTAAACTGAAGAATCAGTCACACTAAAAAGCTTGAAATATGTATGAATCTGTTGTATATATATACATATATTAGTTTTTGATATGTATGTTAGTAAAAATGTTGAAATATGCTATGGGACTCTTTTTAAAAAAGAGTAATGAAACTGATGCTCTTTTTATGCTTTTCCTTATCTTAGATATTTGGTTCCCGGGTTAGAGTTGATTCTACAGCAAAGGTTGCAGAAATAGAACATGCGGAAAAGGAAAAAATGAAGGAGAAAGTTGAACGTATTCTTAAGCATGGAATAAATTGCTTCATTAACAGGTCTGTTTGCTTGCAGGAAAGGATTTTTTTTTTTTTTTAATGAAAATGTAAGGAATAGTTTACTTACACTGAGTTAGTGATTTGTTACTTAGGAACTGCTATACATAACGTCACTTAAATTATGGATTTTCATAATCAGTAAATTGTGATTTATGCACACTGTGGCCAGAATTATGGGATCAATATATACAGTTACTTTAATAAAGAACACCTGTTTTCAGTGCTAGCATAGATGTGCTAGTATTATAATTGATAAATTCCAATTATACAGGTAAGAAAAGCAACCTTGTTCTAATGTAAAAATGTTTACATGTTTTTTAGTCTAATGTAGTTTATCTTGTAACAGTTTTGAGCATAATGTTTTTATGTATTTTATTTACAGGCAGTTAATTTATAATTATCCTGAACAGCTCTTCGGTGCTGCTGGTGTCATGGCTATTGAGCATGCAGATTTTGCAGGTGTGGAACGCCTAGCTCTTGTCACAGGTATGGAAGAAAGGTATTGTTTTCTAACGAACACAGTAGTCACTCTTGGATTTATTATTTGTTACTATATACAATTTGCTGAGAAAACAAATGAGTCTCTTTAAGGAGTTAGAATTTCAACAGTTATTCTGAAATCTAATTCATACTCTTCAATACCTTTAATTTAGATACATTATATTTACTATACCAAATTATATGCCACATTTGCCATTGGTACAGATTTTTTTCATTGTGTCATTGTTTTAAAGGTAGATTTTTGGCTGGGTACAGTGGCTTATGCCTGTAATCCCAGCACTTCGGGAGGCTAAGGCAGGCAGATGACTTGAGCTCAGGAGTTTGAAACCAACCTGTGCAACATGGTGAAACCTGTCCCTACCAAAAAAAAAAAATTAGCCAGATGTGGTGGTGAGCACTGTGAGCGTAGCTGCTTGGGAGGCTAAAACATGAGAATTGCTTGAGCCCTGGGAGGTGAGGTTGCAGTGAGCTGAGATTGTGCCACTGTGCTCCAGCCTTGGCAATGAGACCGTGTCTCAAAAAAAAAATTTTTTTTTTCTCTCACAAACCTGTAAGACCACTGTTAAAATCTGAACAAACTAGAGCTTTAAAAAGAAGTCTTAAGTTTCTTTACCTTTATCTAGTTTGTTCATTTATTTTTATTGCCAAGTAGTTGAGTGCTTTGTGTCCTGTGTAGTAGTAGTACAGTTAAAATAATAACCTTTATTGAACACACTGTATGCTGGAGAGTGGGTCAAGTACTGAAACATTGCTTTTGTTAATTTTTAAAAATTTCTGAAAGCAATAAATGTTAGAATAAGTGAAAACAGTCAACATTGTATAATGAAAATTAGTATATCTCTATACCCTTTAATAGAAGCGTGAGTGATACAATCCAGTTGTGTCAAATAGAAATTGTGTTTATAAATCAGATATATCTGTTTACATCAAAATGACATAATGGTGCAGGCTGATTGCAGTGGCTCATGCTTGTAATCCCAGTGCTTTGGGAGGCCAAGGCAGGAAGATCACTTGAAGCCAGGAATTTAAGACTAGCCTGGGTAACATAGTAAGACTACCTCTACGAAATATTAGCCAGGCATAGTGGCATATGCCTGTAGTCCTAGCTACTTGGGAGGTTGAGGCAGGAGGATCTCTTTAGCCCAGGAGTTCAAGGCTGCAGTGAGCTACGATCCCATCACTACACTCCATCCTAAGTGACAGAGCAAGACCCTGTCTCTTAAAAAAACAAAAGTGTAACTTGTTGCTCTTTATTCTGGTAATGGTTTAAAAAAATTTGTTTTATTAAATTTTTATAGATTGAGCGGGTATAAGTATAGTTTTGTTAATTCTAAGTAGCCCTAGAAAACTAAGTTTAACAAATGTTTCCAGATTTTAGGTCCTTGAAAATGAATGAATAGCTTGGAAAGTTGGTTTGAGAATGGGAATTAAGGAGACCTGGAGGCCTGTGTTAGGAGCTGTGAAGTCAGTAAAACTGTCATACTGTCTGGAATGACCATAAGTGTTAGAAGAAATTAAAGTGTACTAACATTTGAAGAGTGGACTTGGTCTCATCTCAGATGATCTCTTAAGACATTTTTTTAAATAATTTGAAAAGCATAATCTTCTGACCAAGAGGCATTTTCCTTTAATTACTTGAAGTGGATTTGCCTCCTTTAAAGTTCTTTAGGAGCTGTTGCATACTTGATGCTTTAAGGTGACACATAAAATTTAAGATGCTCATGTTTATGTGATTTTTTAGTGCCACAAAATGAAGATTTAAGAAATTCAAGTTGTATGATGACATTGGTTCTTGCAAGTGTCATTAAGTAAGTGTCTTGTGTTGGGCATGGTGGCATGTGCCTGTAGTCTCATCTGTTCAGGAAGCTGAGGCAGAAAGATTGCTTGAGCTTGGGGCTGTAGTGTGCTATGATGGTGTCTAGTGAATAGTCATTGCACTTCAGTCTAGGCAACATAGCAAGACACTGTCTCTTTAAAAAGAAAGAAAAAAAGTCCTAAGATCAGAGTCTTTATGAATTTATTGTAAAATAAATAATAGAGCATTGGCAGATTTATCAGTAAGGAATAGGAAAAGAAGAGTTGATTGATAATATATGGAATCCACATTATGAAATGAGTAGTCAGCTAGAGAAAAGGATTTTGACATGGAAACCTAACTTTTGCTTAGGAAGTAGGGAATGAAATGGCTGACCTCTTCAGTTTACAGCATGGAAGATGGAGGGAAAATAGGAAGAGAAGTGAGACATAAGGACTATAATTAATTTATTCTTACTGAATTTGCTCTGGGAAATTCTTAGTATGCTTTTTTTTTTTTAAAGGCCTTATGTTTCAACTGTGATAATTAGATCAGGTGCTTATTATTTTAAGCAGTTCATGAAGTGTATAGTGGTTGACATAGGACAAATATTTTCCTGTCTTGTGCTGGGAATTTTATCATGAGGGCTTAGTCTTAGGACTGAATTCAGAGGAGAATCTGAATTTAAACTCAAAGTAACTGCTTTAAGACTCAGTTTAACCTTTGGGAGGTAGTAGTATTGTATAGTATGTGCTTATAGATCTGAAGCCAGACTGAGTTTGAACCCCAACTTTTTATATTCATCCTAGTTAGGTAACTTTGGATAGGAAAGTAAACCTCTTGGCCTCATTTTTATCATGTGTAAAGTGGGATAATGAACCTAAGGATTGTTGTAAAGATTAAATAATTAGTATACATATGAAACTTAAAAAGACTGCATGGTATATAATAAGCAATCGATTTTTAATATGTTAAGATACACATCTGTCATTATCCATTACTGCTTATTAGGAAACAGGAATTTTAAGCCTGCTGTGAATTCAACTAATAAATGTTTATGTTTATAGGTGGTGAAATTGCCTCTACCTTTGATCACCCAGAACTGGTAAAGCTTGGAAGTTGCAAACTTATTGAGGAAGTCATGATTGGAGAAGACAAACTCATTCACTTTTCTGGGGTTGCCCTTGGTGAGTGATTATGTAGATCCTGGTTAAGATTTTTAAATTTTTGCTAGGCTCTGTTGAGGTAAAGGTAGTTACTAGAATAGCACATATTATCAGTCTTAACTCTAGAAACATGATGTATGTTTTGTTTGAGTCTCTTGAGGTCAACCTCATCTTTACTGTGTCTTTGTAAACAGTGCATGTTCAACATAGTTTTTTTCCTTGATAACTTAGAACCATTATGAACCTTGATTGTTAGAGAATGTATAATACAGGAAGACCCAATAATATAACCAACACCTGCATAAATAATAGAAGGCAAACTTTTTATCTGTAAGTGTCCCTGTAACTTTTAATTTTAGGTGAGGCTTGTACCATTGTTTTGCGTGGTGCCACTCAGCAAATTTTAGATGAAGCTGAAAGATCTTTGCATGATGCTCTTTGTGTTCTTGCACAAACTGTAAAGGATTCTAGAACAGTTTATGGAGGAGGTAAGCATTTGAAAAATATTGAACATATTTTTATTTCTTAAAGTACAACTTAAGTCATAAGTGGTTTTAATGGTTCTTATAGAAACTTTATATTGCCTTTGCACTACATTTAAAATGCTTGGCATATCTTAAGGAAAGTCAGTAATTCAGTATCTTGGAGACAGCATTACAATATTTTATTGGAATTTTAATCTGTAGGCTGTTCGGAGATGTTGATGGCTCATGCTGTGACACAGCTTGCCAATAGAACACCAGGCAAAGAAGCTGTTGCAATGGAGTCTTATGCTAAAGCACTGAGAATGGTAAGTTAATAAAAATAAGAGATCTGAACTTTAATTTTGTGGTTATTGATAATTTTAAAATGAGTAGAAAATGAGCTGATTAATACCGCTTTTAAATTTGATTCTGGAGTTTCTCCTCTTCATGAGCAGTCATTAAAAGGAAACATTTTCCATTGTTTCTAAATGTGTAATTTAAAAAAGCCATCCTTTTAGGAGTAAATCACTGGTTCTTATAGTAGGGTGAGTAGTTACTTGTTTTCTTCATTTCATAGTTGCCAACCATCATAGCTGACAATGCAGGCTATGACAGTGCAGACCTAGTGGCACAGCTCAGAGCTGCTCACAGTGAAGGCAATACCACTGCTGGACTGGGTAAGCAATCAAAGGGAACTTTGTGGCCGTTGCTAAAAATAACTCTTCTCACCAGGCTTTTTTTTTTTTTGCTTTTGGAACACGAAGAGTTATCATGATAACCATGTAAAAGACACTTCCTGGCCTTTGTCCTTGTAACCATTACATGTGCTGGGAAAATGTGTGACTTTATATCCTTGACACTTCCTAAACTTTGTTATTTCATAAGAGATATAAAACTGGTTAGATTTGTAACAATTTGGTATATAATGACTATAGGATTTAAATATAAATAGTACTTACATTTTGAAAAATAACAAACTATGTTGCTTATACAATCAGTGTTAACTCCTAATTTCACAGTAAACTTATTGTGAGATAATCTTCTTGAGCACAGAACGCAGTTCTCCAGTCCATAGAAAAGTGGCCAGTGAGGCAGCTTTAATTCATATTGAAAAATTTTTGACAAGCTGTGCAGGGCATTATAGAGTAGTCTTAAGAAGGTAGATAATCCTGTCAATTTGAACAAGAGGGAGCACCAGTTCATCTGTGAGAAGATGAAGCAGATTCTCACAAGAAGAGAAGTTGGGTAGATGACTTCTGAATTCTCTCCCATTTGTTTTTTGTTAATTGACATTGTTTTCTGTTAATATGGATGGTCAATAGTTGACATTATTATTGTTGTTGTTGTTATTATTACTGAGACAGTGGTCTTGCTCTGTTCCCCAGACTGGAGTGCAGTGGCACAATTAAAATTCACTAGAACCTTGAACTCTTGTCTCAAGCAGTTCATCCTCCTCAGCCTCCAAACTAGTTAGGGCTAAAGGCACGTGCCACAATGCCTGGCTGAATTATTTTTATTTTCTTAGAGATGTGGGGGTCTCACTGTGTTGTATAGGCTAGACTCAAGCAGTCTTCCTATCTGAGCCTCCCAAAGTGCTAGGATTATAGGTGTGAGCCACTGAGCCTGGCCCCTTTTAATTTTGTTTGTTTGTTTGTTTTTTTGAGATGGAGTTTTGCTCTTGTTGCACAGGCTGGAGTGCAGTGTCATGATCTCAGCTCATTGCCACCCCTGCCTCCTGTGTTCAAATGATTCTTCTGCCTCAGCCTCTCGAGTAGCTTGGATTACAGGCACCCATCACCATACCTGGCCAATTTTTTGTATTTTTAGTAGAGCCAGGGTTTCACCACATTTGCTAGGCTGGTCTTGAACTTCTGACCTCAGATAATCCACCTGCCTCAGCCTACCAAAGTGATGGAATTACAAGCCTGAGCCGCTGTGCCCTGCCCCTTTTAACTTGCTTAAAAGACTCTTGGAGCTCATTTGTAGGCTTATCCACCTACTAAGAAATTGGGTATCCTAATTTTATTAATAACAGGATTAATTTTTATTATAAATCATTAGAGATGTTTCAGTACTTTAGTTGTTAAAACTATGTTTTTTTGTTTGAGACGGAGTTTTGCTGTGGTTGCCCAGGCTGGAATGCAATGGTGCGATCTTGGCTCACTGCAACCTCTGCTTCCTAGGTTCAAGTGATTCTCCTTCCTCAGCCTCAGGAGTAGCTGGGATTACAGGCATCCGCCACCACACCTGGGTTTTTTGTTTGTTTGTCTGTATTTTTAGTAGAGACGAGGTTTCACCATGTTGGTCATGCTGGTCTTGAACTCGTGACCTCATATAATCCACCCACCTCAGTCTCCCAAAGTGCTGGGAGGTGTGAGCCATTGTGCCCAGCCATAAAAGTACTTTTTAGTAAATGTTTTTTTCTTTGCAGATATGAGGGAAGGCACTATTGGAGATATGGCTCTCCTAGGTATAACAGAAAGTTTTCAAGTAAAGCGTCAAGTTCTTCTAAGTGCAGCTGAAGCAGCAGAGGTGATTCTGCGTGTGGACAACATCATCAAAGCGGCACCCAGGTACTGTAACGCTTTTCTCAGAAGAAATTATTAACAGCAAAACAAAAAATAGGGAGCTATGTTTATTTTATAATTAGAGTTAATGAAAAGCAGAGACAGTTTTGCTTGGATAAAAGTATTATGTAAGTTGGACGTGGTGGCTCATGCCTGTAATCCCAGCGCTTTGGGAGGCCGGAGCAGGTGGATTATGAGGTCAGGAATTTGAAACCAGCCTTTCAACATAGTGAAACCCAATCTCTACTAAAAATACAAAAATCAGCCAGGTGTGATGGTGTGCATCTATAGTCCCAGCTACCTGGGAGGCTTAGGCAAGAGAATCTTGAACCCAGGAGGCAGAGGTTGCAGTGAGCTGAGATCACTCCATTGCACTCCAGCCTGGGTGACAGAGTGAGATTCCATCTCAAAAAATAAAAATAAATAAAAAGTATTGTATAAGTCATTTAAAATATCACAACTCTTAACACTTAAGCCAGAAAAACTTGAGGGATGGGCAGCTGATAGAATGCTGTGATGCTTTCTATTGTCTTTAGACCGAATGATAGCAAAAGGAAATTGAGTTCTGTAACTAAAGTGTTCTGATTAGGGGCAAAGTCATATAGCCACACCTACTTCCACAAATCTTCACAATAAGTCAGTACCCTCACCTATAATTGAAATACACTTTAAAAATGTATAATACTTTATTTGGTCTGATAGAGGTTGGGTATCTTTTATTAGCAAATTACTGCAAATTCTGAGTGATTTGCAGCAAAGAAACTTAATTTTGTTTAACCCAGCCTTCCAAACTTACCAGACCATGGGCTTCTTTTTCATACTCCTTATTAACCTTATTCCAGAGGACTTGCTTTTCAGATCGGTGCCCTGTGACAGCTGTTTCATAACTTTTTTGACAATGGTTAACATCCTACTTCCCCCATAAGCTACTAAGGTTGAGAAGTTTATCTCTTTATATGATCCCTGTATAATGCTGTATTGTTTGATCTGTTCTTAAGCTTCTTCAGCTTCTTTTAACTGTTGTGTTTGCCTCTAAAAGCAGTGTTTCAAGCTTTAGATCACCGAACAAGCATTAAGTAAAAAAATTTACTGGTACCCTTATCATCCCACTTTCCAAAAGATTGTTCTATGCCCAGAAGCCGTAAGAGCCTAAGAGGCAGTTTACAACCTTTAATTTAAAATAATTGTTTTTGCTTAATTTAGTAAAATTTCCTAAAACATGCTTTAGTCAAAAACATGAATTAACCTATTCTGGAGAATTCATCTCTGTTAGGTATGTTGTTTGGATGAGAAGTTGAGAGCTGCTAAATACCTGCAGGCCTTCACATTCCATGTGTTTTCTAATGTCTTCTTAAAAATAACATAGTAATTGAATAATGTTAATCATGAGGTAGAAACATCCTTTTATAGAGAATTGGGGTGTCTTAGTCTATTTTCTGTTGCTTTATAACAGTGCCAGAACCTGTTTAGTTTATAAGTGATAGTTTTTTTTTTTTTTTTTGGAGACATAGTCCTACTCTGTCACCCAGGATAGAGTGCAGTGGTTTGTTTGATTGTCTCTTTCCGCTGACTGCAACCTCTGCCTACCAGGTTGAAGCGATTCTTCTGCTTCAGCCTCCTAAGTAGCTGGGACTACAGGCACATGCCACCATGCTCAGCTAATTTTTTGTATTTTTAGTAGAGATAGGGTTTCACCATGTTAACCAGGATAGTCTTGATCTCCTGACCTCGTAATTCACCCTCCTTGGCCTCCCAAAGTGCTGGGATTATAGGCATGAGCCACCATACCCGGCCAAAATTTCTTAGACTGTGAAGCTCAAGGTTGAAGGGGGCTGCATGTTGTGAGGTGCTTCTTGATGGTGGGGGTATCTGCAGAGTCCCAAGGCAGAACAGTCCTGATGTGCAGGGCATCACACCGAGAGGCGATGAGTGGCTAGCTCAGGTCTGTCTTCCTCCTCTTCTAAATCCAGCAATCCCATTCCTATGTAACCCACTAGTCCATGACACGACCTGCTCACTTAAAGACCCAACTTCCAGTATTGCTGCATTGGGGAGTAAGTTTCTCTGTGAGTTTTATAGGGGACAAGCATTCAATCCATTGCAGAGTTATAATAGTTTTAATACAGGATTCTAGTTGTGTTTGTATTTATTGTAATACTTTGGATAAAATCAGGCTTTTCATTTTTCACTACTGACTTTTTTCTTACTCTCATAGGAAACGTGTCCCTGATCACCACCCATGTTAAGCATTCCCAAGTGCTGTTGATCTCTGGACCAGTTTCTAGCGAAGTTGTTTTTGAAACATAGCCTCTTAAGACAGTGCAATCTGTTTGTCGGTGCCCATTATATCCTTAAGTTTGGACATTTAGCTGACCTTCTCTTTTAACATGGGTCTAATTTATTTGCCATGTAATTTTCCATACAAATCTGTTGATTTAAAAGTTCATTTCTCATACTGTGCATTAAAATAAAAATTTGAACAATTACTTGGTTCTTATGTCTTACTGATTTGTGTGTATTCTACTTAATGGAAATTAATTATTATTTTCAGTATAGCATTTTCAGCTTAATTAATGATTGACCATCTACATTTTTGAAAGAATTACCTTGATTAAGCACAAGTCAAATGTGATAAACACACCATATATTAATCTTTTGGTTTTGTTGTTGGGCCGTAAGAACACTCAATTATGGCCTGGCGCAGTGCATCACGCCTGTAATCCCAACATGTTGGGAGGCCGGGGTGGGTGGGTCACTTGAGGTAGGAATTTGAGACCAGCCTGGGCAATATGGAGAAACCCTGTCTCTACTAACAATACAAAAATTAGCTGGGCTTGGTGGTGGGTGCCTGGAATCACAGTTACTTGGGAGCCTGAGGCAGGAGAATTGCTTGAGCCTCAGGGCAGACGTTGCAGTGAGCCAAGATCGCACCACTGCATTCCAACCTGGGTGACAGTGAAGTTCCGTCTCAAAAAATCAAGTTTTACTACCCATTTAATTTGGTGTAGCAAAAATGACGTAAACTGGTACTCATTTAATTTTGCGTAGTTTAAGTACTTTCTCTTGCATTGGAAAAAATTGCGATGCTTTCTGTTATGTATTATTTTTATTTTATTTTTTAAATTTTTTAAGATGGAGTCTCTGTTACCCAGGCTGGAGTGCAGTGGCGCGATCATGGCTCACTGCAACCTCCACCTCCTGTTTTCAAATGATTCTCTCTTTTTTTTCGATAGTTTCTTTTGCTGTGCAGAAGCTCTTGTTTAATTAGCTCCCATTCATCAATTTTTGCTTTTGTTGTGATGGCTTTTGATGTCTTTTTTTTTTTTAATGGATTGGAGGTTTCAGTGGGATGGGAGAATCACAAGGAATCAGGTGTTCAGAGGAATGTATTGAGTAGAGGGGAGGAACTAGGATGTTGAAAAGTAAAAAAAGGAGAGAAGGAGAGGAAGAGAGGAAGAAAAAGGGAGAGAGAACAGGAATATTGCTTCATTCTAAAAATGGGTGTTAATAATGGCCGATCAGTATTTTGTGTATTTAAAATGGAGAACTCTATAAATACTGAGTTTACTTGTTCCGGATCTGAGTTGAAGTCCTGGATATCCTTATTAATTTTCTGTCTCGTTGAGTCTAAATCTCGTTATGGGTCTTATGTATCTGGGTATTAAGATCTCTTATTGTTGCATTGATCCTTTTACCACTGTATCTTTGTTGCTTTGAAATCTATTTTATCAAATGTGAGAATTGCAACTCCTTTTTGTTTATTTATTTTTGCTCTCCATTTGGTTGGTAAATTTTTCTCCAACCCTTTGTTTTGACTCTTTGTGTATCTTTGGGTTTGGCTGTATCTTTTGATTGGGGGATTTAGTTGATTTAAATTTAGGGTTACTGTCATTTGATGTTAACTGGCTATTTTATCCATTTGTTGATGTAAATTCTTTGTGTTGATGCTCTTTACTTTTTGGTATATTTTTAGAAAGGCTCATACTGGTTGTTCCTTTCTATGTATAATGCTTTTTTCAGAAGTTCTTGTAAAGCAGGCCTGGTGGTAATAAAATCTCTGAGTACTTGCTTGTTCATAAAAGACTATTTTTCCTTCAGTTGGGAAGCTTAGTTTGGCAGGATATGAGATTCTAGGCTGAAAGTTCTGTTCTTTAAGTATGTTGAATATTGGCCCCCACTCTCTTCTGGCTTGTAGGGTTTCCGCTGAGAGATCTGCTGTAAGTCTAATAGGCTTCCCTTTATGGGTGACCTGGCCTTTCTGGCTGCCCTTAGTATTTTCTCCTTTGTTTCAACCCTGGTGAATCTAATGATTATGTGCCTTGGGGTTGCTCTTCTTGAGGAATATCTTTGTGGTCTCTGTATTACCTGGGGTTGAATAGTGTCCTGCTTTGCTAGATTGGGAAAATTTTCCTGGATAATATCCTGAAAAGTATTTTCCAGCTTGGATTCATTCTCTCCATCACATTCAGGTACACCTATCAAACGTAGATTGGGTCTTTTCACATAGTCCCATATTTCTTGGAGACTGCTCATTCCTTTTCATCCTTTTTTCTCTATTCTTGTCTTGTCATTTTATTTCATTAAGTTGGTCTTTGACCTCTGATATCCTTTCTTCTGCTTGATCCATTCTGCTATTTAAACTTGTGCATATTTCACTAAGTTCTCGTGTTGTATTTTTCAACTCCGTTAGTTCATTTATATTCCTCTCTATAGTGTCTATTTTCAGCATTTCGTCAAACCTTTTTTCAGAGTTCTTAGTTTCTTTACATTGGGTTAGAACAAGTTCTTTTAATTCCCAGAAGTTTCTTATCATCCACCTTCTGAAGCCTACTTCAGATAATGGAACACAGTCCTTTTCCATCAGGGCTTGTTCCGTTGCTGATGAGGAACTGCAATCTCCTGTAGAGGGAGAGGGGTTCTGATTTTGGGTATGCTCGGCCTTCTTAGGCTGGTTTTTTCCCTTTATTATAAATTTATCTATCTGTCATCTTTACAATTACCGCCTTTCTAATTAGGTTTCTGAGTGGATGTCTAATTAGGTTTCTGAGTGGATGTCTAATTAGGTTTCTGAGTGGACGTCCTCAATTTATTGATTCACAGCGCTGGAATCTGAGCAACCCACTGCGCGGGCCAAAACAGCAGTGATAAGACTGATGGTGCTCTTCTGCCCGGGAATCTCTGGTCTGGCTTCCTTCTTGAGTCCGCAACAAGCGGTTCTACCTTCCCGGAGCTCCAAACACCAGTCAGTAAGAGAACCAGTCCCATTTACTCTGCATGAAGAGCTGCTGCGCCAAGGCGCCGGCAAAACCGCTGCACCGGCCACAAGAGTCGCGCTGGCGACCCGTGGGGCTCCTCCACTAGAAATCTTCTGGTCTGTGAGCGACGAAAATTCGTCTGAAAGTGTGGCGTCCTCTCGTTCTCTGAGCTTTCACTGGGAGCTACAATCCCGAGCTGTTAGTGATCAGCCATCTTGGATCTCTCTCCTTTTTTTTTTGATTTTTATTTGAGTTTATTAACATTTTTTTTTTAATTAATACATGCACAAGGTAAAAAATTAAATAGTACAGAAGGACTTAAAATGAAAGACACAGTTTCCCATCCCACCCTTTTGAAATCTAGTCCCATTCCCTAGAGGAAATGTATTTAATGATATTTATTTTAGATTATCTGGTAACTACCTTTCTAACTTTAATTAATATGTTTGAACAATAATTTCTTGACTTACTGACTTTACACGATCTTTAATAATTCCCCATTACAAAAGATAAGTATTTAACTTACATGATCGTCACTTTCCTTTGTCCATCTCTCTCCAAATGTTTGCTATCTCTCAAATGATTCTCTTGCCTTAGCCTTTCAAGTGGCTGGGATTACATGGTAGGTAGGCTGCCACCATGCCTGGCTAATTTTTGTATTTTTAGTAGAGATGGGGTTTTGCCATGTGCCTGACTGGTCTCTACGTTACCTGATGTTTTTAAAATTGAAAACGTCGTGTTCTAAATGTTGCAAGGTGATGGGCTCTAAGCACCTCTCTTTTTTTTTTTTTTTTTCCCAAGTCAAGATCTCACTGCACTCACCCAGGCTAGAGTGCGGTGGTACGATCACAGGTCACTACAGCCTCTGCCTCCTGAGCTCAAGCGATTCTTCCACCTCAGCCTCCCAAGTAGCTGGGACTACAGGTGCATGGCACCATGCCTGGCTGATTTTTATTTTTTTTAAATTGTAGAGACAAGTTTTGCCATGCTGCCCAGGCTGGTTCTTATCACCTCTTTCCAATGCTTTGTAAGGTAATAATTCTCTGAAGAAGATTATGGTTAGACTTAAGTATTGTTATTGATTGGGCTTTTTTTTTTTTTTTTTTTTTAAGGACTTTTTGTTTGGGGTAAGTGGATAAGATGAGAACAGGTCTCAGTGTGGACTGAGTTCACTGGTTTAAGGCAACTCTAATTTTGGAGGCTGTTAATGCCTCAGTATGTAGCAGAATACACAAGCAGTGAGAGCCCAACAGTAGGTGGAGTTTTTATTGGACATCTGTGGTAACATTTTGGAGGGACATTCACATAAAGGAGCAAAGGAGTTTCAAAGAAATACTGATAGACCAAATTTTTTTGTTGGGGGAGGGAAGAACTTAAGACATCTAAAAATTTGTTTTGATATTTTAATACTATTTTGTAGATAGGATTAAAACTAGAAAATGTATTATCAAAGAGAATTACACTGAATAGCAATAACACCTGCTGTGTAATTTTTTAAGTGCCTTCTCACACATTAGTTGTAAGCCTCACAACTGAGGTGGATTGGAGCAGGAGTGTGTATGACAGAACCCACGAAGGATTTTGTGGGACAGGTGAGTTTATCCTGAGGGAACGGATGGCATGGAGTTAGGTCATAAATTGAAAGGGCACTTAGGCACATTTTCTCCAAAGAACTTAGGATTGACCAATAAAGTTTAAAAAGGTAAAAATATGGAAACTTTACTACTATATTCAAGAATATAGCCATACCTTGCCTTCAAGTTCATATATTTGGAAACCCCTAGCCCTTACAGATTGTTGTCTTTAGAAAAATGTCAGGTTCATAAATTTTAAAATCTTTACAGTTTCAGAGTTAAGTATGACCTAGACCTAGCTCTTGTTAATGGTTTTAGGATGGAGTTTTTACAATTTTGGATTTGGGGTACATGTGCTGATTTGTTAAATGGGTATTTGTGATGGTGGGGGTTGAGTTTCTAGCATGTCTGTCACCCAAATATTGGACACTGGACCCAGTAGATTATTTTTCAGCCCTCACCCCTATCTTACCCTCTACCCTTTGGAGTCCCCAGAGTCCATTTCCCCAATATTTATGTCCATGTGTCACTTTTGTTTAGTTCCCACTTAAAAGTGAGAACATGTGATACTTGATTTTCTGCTTCTGTGTTCACTTAGGATAATGGCTTCCAGTTTCATCCATGGTGCTGCAAAGGACATTGGTTTTTCTTTTTTTA